CTGCTCTCTAATAAGTCATTCACTGACCTTCTTTCTAAAGCCAAGACATCTTCCCTGGCCACAGGTGGCGTGGTTTGGGTATGCTTCTGTCTTTCAAAGCGTTTCGAATTCATGGAAGGTGTTGAAACAAACCCAGGTTCCACACTTAGTGCTTTTCTATTCACTGCTCAGCAGAAGCACATTTCTTCAAGGGGCAGAGTGAGAAGAAGAGCTCTTGCTTCCAAATAAGCGTGTTCAGCCCAGAACCCCGCTCTTTTTTGTAACTCGATAACGGAAGGGAACAGATAAGTTGTAATTGCTTCTCTGGCAGCGCTGTGACTGGTAATAATAAAGTCAGGGGGGTTTTCCTGGTCTTGCAGTTTGTCCTTCAGTGGAAATTACGGGGATGGCTTCACTGGGCATTTTAACCAGTGAGACATTGGGGTCAAGCTTCCTTTTGAGGCAGTGATTTACTGTGATATGATACTGTAGGGAAAGAACTTTCTTTTTAAGGGTAAAGTCTGTTGCCACTTCCTTTTACAAATTGAGGAAACAAATAGAAAAGGTACTGTCCTTCCTGTAATCCTGTGCAGTCCCAGTAGGGTGGCCATCTGCAGTGTGGGCTGGCCCATTATACACCATCCTGCAATTAACTGTCAAATGCCACTTATAGCCAAGAGGCTGATAAACTTGCAGCAAAAGTTTGGGGCTTTTTCTTTCTTTTTCGTCTTATTTTTTTTCCCTTCTCACCGCTGGATTTCAACCTTGCTTCAGGGAACAGATGGCTGAGCCTAAAGAAATAAAAGGAAGTTGCTATTTATGTTTATTTCATCTGAAATAATTTTCAGGTCCTTGGGAATAAGTGCTCGCCATCTCCATCTTAATAAAGCAGACCTTTTTTAAATATGCGTAGCTTTTTAAATCATTTTGTCAAGGGTACTCAGGCAGTTTTCAGCAGCTGTCCCCTCCTGCATGCACACTGCTCTGCATCTGGTTGCTTTGGATTTATAGTCTTACTGCTGTAGAAACACAAAGGTAGAGAAATACCCTCCAATTCCCTGTCATAAGCATCATTAAAAAAGATCAAGAAATGGCAGTGGCTTCATGTTTATATTTCCATGCACGAGCATTGACTACATATACTCCACTCATGGTCTTTTTCTTATTCTTTTTTTTTTTTTTTCTGCTGTAAAACAGATTTATTCATTTATCTTTTGATTTAGAGCTGCACAGAGGAAAAAAGGATGGTGTTTGTTCAGAACAAAGTTGAGCGTTGCTTTGTGGGCTGTACTGTTTGGTTTTTCCTGATGCAGGAAAACGAGTTGCGGTGTCCGAGTTCACCAAATATCAGAAATCTATTTTAAGCTAAAGTTGCTGACATGGTGATACAGTTATTTTATAACCACAGCGATATCACACACTGTTCTTTTGATTCCAGACTCTATGACAATTTTCAAACAGGAACATTCGTTCTTTATAAGAGTACGGCTCGCGATTTCGAAGTTCACGTTCGCCAGTGGGACTGCGGCAGCCTTCAGCACCCAGCGTCCTGTAACTGTGGCTTTGTTGCCAAAGAAGGGAGCGATGTGATCGCCTTTGACATGTGCAGCGGGCAGCGGCGCGAGTCCGAGCCGCGCTTGTCTGTCGTAAGCAGAGACACAACAGGAAGCAATGTCAGAATCACTGAGTCCTACCTAGGAAGAAAAGTAACTGTAAGTAGCCAATAATCACTGACAATAATCTCAGTAATTATTTTCCTAAGTCACACCGGCTTCAGTGTGACTGAAACATGTTTTGTTTTCTGCGATTAAGCAGTAGCATAATGTTTGTTTTACAGTCATAGTCCTTCGGCCAGTGTTTTGCCTGTAAGGGAAGTTTCTTGTCCTGAAAAACAAGGATGAGTCAACACTTTTCTAGAACCATGTTATCAGTTAGAGTGTACCACCTTAGTGTGGAAGGTGCAGGTTTGAGATTAAATATGCATTTATTTAGCAGTGCTAATGTTCCAAAATGAGTTCTCTGCGTGCTCGGCTTCTCACATGCCACTTGTATAGGAAGGCTGTGCCTGCAAGTAATTAAATATGCCAAATGCTCTCCACAGAATTAGAAGAGTACATGGTTTCTCTGGAGAAGGCAGCCCTCAGATGAAACATTCATGTTTGCTTTTATAGTTTCCTGTAGCTCTTCTTTTGGAGATAGAAGTGCTGGAGGACTCCACTGAACTTCAAATGAAGCAGAATGTAAAAATTAAGCCCTCAACTGCTCTTTAATCACTGTGTTAGTCTGGAAGGCAAGCCATAAAACCAGACATGCCTTTTCAACTTGGATTTGGCTGTCGGTGTAAGACGATTTAAAATATTTAACTTTTATCTGAAGCGCTTCATCTGAAGTCCTCAGATATGAAATATTAAGACAACGTTAGGCAACAGTGAAATTAAAAGGATAGTGAAGAACCAGAAAAATTGACTTGCTCAGATTTGTACAGCAAGTTAGTAACAGAAACAGTGTTTAAACTTGCCGTGGATTTTGTTCTTGAGACTGCTAGTGTTTCTTTCAAGAGGCTGTAAAGTTGTCTAAAATTAGAGTAAATATTTGAGAATATTCTGAGCTGTCTAGAGTATTTAGGATCATCTTTGCAGGTAGAAGGTGACTCTATGTTAAGCTACTAATACAGGAGGGCATGTAGCTGACAAAAAGTTGAGAAAGTTGCTCCCAAATTGTCTTTTCCTATTACCAGATTTAGCCCTTTCGATACGCTGACATATGAAGACTGAGCAGCCCAGGTGATCTTTAATTCTCTGTGGTTTTGCAGTCACTGACCCTGCACAGTACACCGGCTGCTGATGGCTGAGGTTTGTTTATGGGCCTACAGTGCACTTCCAGCTGCCTGCTGAGGTTGAGATGTATAGAAGAAATAATGAGATTTGTCTGATCCAGAATAGTTAGAGCAAGAATTTAATAGGATGTCTTTATATGCCTGGCCTTTCCTTGCCAACAAACAAGCCTGGCTTTACTAGGTAAAATAAAAATTATGTTCCTCATTACGATATCATCAATCTCTTTTTAGGTTTTGTTTTCTTCTGGAGCTTTCGTTCGTGCTGATGTGAGTGAATGGGGGATGAGCATAACACTTAGGGCACCCAGTTCAGATTACAGACACACGATGGGACTCTGTGGCACCTTTGATGGAGATGCGGAGAACGACTACCACACTGCAAGTGGGGTGCAAATCCCCAAGCATGCTAGCGTTCCTTTCTCTTTTATTAAGGAATGGAGGTAACAAAATGCTTCTGTTTCAATCAAATGTCATAAGCTTTGGTTCAACCTTTCCTTCACGCTCTTAAAAACTTCTCAAAATAATAATAATAATAATAAAATTTTCTTCAGTTTTCAAGTTAATGTTAGAGTGCCTTCATTACATTCTATAATTAATTTTGAAGAAAATTGAAATGGAAGTGCCAAGTTAGTAGTTAAGTAGTGTGACGTAGGATTAGTTGGAGTAGGTTTTGAACAAAATATCATGGCGTACAGAGGCTGCCCACTCTTCTCAATTCTTCTGTTAGGAGTTACTCTCACGGTTTTGTGATTTAACTGGTCTTCCGATACGCCTCTGTGCTACAGATTCTGCCATGTGTGCTGTAGGAGTATGAAACAACAGAAAGCAAAACAGGTGTTAATGCTGTACTAGAACAATAAAAACAGTTCAGATACCGTTTCATCTTTTGCTTTCTCTAGGATTCCACCAGGAGATAGCTTGTTTGACAAGACACCTGCTTCTTTAGCGTCTTCTAGAAAAACAGTCTTCTGTGACTGCGCCCTTGAAGATGCTGGATTATATCAATCGGTGAATAAACTAGAGACAGTTTCTCAGTCAGAACTTCCTCTGTCTTGTAAAGAAAGCGAAAGTGGTAGATTTCTTTCTTTGATACCGGGACTGGATGTCACTGCTGAGTATCTCGGTCCTGGTGATCTTGTCAGAGACTTAAAGAAACGTTCTGCGCGTGAAAAGGATTCATCTACACTTCCGCAGAGCGAGGAGAACCAACCCAAACTCCATGAAACATCACCAGTAAACACACGTGTCTCTGCAACCTCCGTGGGAACTGGTGTAGAAAGAGAAGGAACTTCGAGCTCAGACTTTAGCAGAAATTCTCGCCGTGACAATGATCGTCTTCACCAAAGTCAATCTGTTGCAAGTAGAGGGAAGCGCCAAAATTATTATGAATATCATCCAGTAGTTCTATTCCAAAGTCTCAGCCAAACAGACTTAGAGGGATATAGTTATTTTTTCCCAGAGGACCATGCTACTGCCACAGAACCAAAGTTTCTTCCTTCTTGGCCCACGCCTTCTGGCCTCGCTGAGCCTGGCGCTTTGTCACTGTGCCAGCAGGCGATCGCTAATTCCAGCATCGCAAGATCTTGTGCCAGCCTGCTTGGCCGGCGAGTGGAGGATGCCATCGATATGTGTGTTAAAGATCTGCTGCTGAAAGATGATCTCAGCTGGGCAGAAGCTTCCTTAGCTCTTCTCGAGAATGAATGTGAGAAAAGAATTTTAGAAGAGATGAATTATAACCCGCAGGAGCTGGAAGGGTCGGTTGAGAGCCTGCTGACTGCCTTGAAGTGCCCCAGTCTCTGCAGTGGTAATGGGGAGTGTACAGAATGGGGCTGTGCGTGTTTTCAGGGCTACAGCTCATACGACTGCAGCGTAGTGTCTGGTAAGTGGGGTTAAAAAATGAGATTTACTTAGGTAATGTTCTCAGTGTTTGTGCAGCGTACATTTATTTTGCTGTATTTCACTCCTGCTTTTGCACGCTGAGAGGGGTTCGCCACAGTGGTCCTGTTTGTTAGCCAGCAGTTTAGTTCCAGTTTAATACAGTCAGATTTTTCTATTCAGCCTTCTCATTTCCAAAGGGCACTTAGTTTCTGACATGTCAGATTTTAAAAATTTACCACTTGGTGAGTTCGCAGTCTGGAGTGTTGCCCCAAGAGATTAGCGATGTTTCCACACACTGTCTTCTTCAGGGAAGATCTGCCACATCCATCCATTCCCTAATTTTTTATAGTCCATATGGTCCTTTTTATTAACTGGAAGTGGGATGTTTTGCTCTTTGGTGATGTTACAGCTCTGTAAGCTGACTGTTAGATGTGGTGGGAGCAGAACTGATGGCAAATTAAAAAGAGATACTGCAAAAAGACCTGGGCAGAGTTGATTTGCTTTTTTCCCCAGTAAATAAGAATAAAAATTTGGTTGAGCAAGTACACTGGAAAATCATGAAAAGTACTACACAAGTCAAAACCCTTTCAAAACAAAACCTGTTAATATTTTGTCTTGCAATGGTGTTTTTGTTTTAATGACCTATTTAAAAGCAAATAGAGAAAGAGGTAAGAGAATAATAGAAATATTTTGTTCCTAGATAAAAACTACTTGGAGTTTTCTCATCTCTGTCTGTTTCCTGGAGTAACTTCCACCTGAGATATTTTCGTTTACCCTTTAAACAAATATTTCCCGTTATACATTACTGCATAACTGTAACCTACTTCTAAGCCTGAGTTTCATTTAGATTTTATTCTGCAAGTGTGCTCTAAAGAACCATAGATGAGAAAGCAAAATACATTCACAAGTGTTTGTTCTCAGATTAATATTTTCTGTGCTTCATAAACAGTTGCAAGAGAAGACAAAAGCCTAGCTTTAAAGTTAAGATGGATTTTAACAGTAAATACATTTCTGTTTACCCCTTTCTTCAGCTGGGTCCAGATTTTGTTGCTTGCATAGTTTTCTTAGCTGGCTTGAGAAATAAACATATTGCTTAATGTAAGTGCCTATGAATGAGGGAATATACTGACATTCATTGTCTGATCTCTACTTTGAAGACCAGGCTCCAGAAATTACAGAGCTGGAGAATGCCGGGCTCTGCGATATCCGACAGTACGACTGCGCGTCAGTGAGAGCCTTCGGACGTGGCTTCAGGGAGTCGTCGAATCTGAAATGCGAAATTACCAAATTACAGGTAGGTCTCCCCGAATGGTAACAATTAAGAGTTGAAACTTCTCGGAGAACGAGGGCGAGCATGTCTTGCAGATTGTCCCTTGGTGTGGGTACGAGCCAATGCTTTAGTGGAGCTAAAAGCAAAGGTGCTCAGCACTTTGCAGCAGACTCTCAAGCCTTTGCCAGATTGCCATTTCCTCCACGATAAGAGAAATACAAAACATAATGGGAATGTTCAGCAGCTGAGAGGGAGATAACAGTGTGTGGCCGCTATCCATCAGAAGAGGGCAAGGGCAGCCCTATTAATATCAGCCAGGACACCGTTGTTCGGTTTTTAAGTGCTTATGGAGAGGACTGGAAGTACCACTTCTTTGAAAAAGGACAGCGAGGTTAAAGACATTACTAGAGTTCTGTCTCAAATCTAATGCTTGAAATAGCCCTTTTATAAACACAATAAATCTCTTACAAAAAGAGGAAGACGTTTTTGATGTGTTGTCTGTTTCCCTGGGGAAGAATACCAGGGCTATTGAATGATATATGCGAGCTCTATACCCTAGGCTTGAACAGGAGATTAAAAATGATGCGCTGTAAACTAAGAGGAGTCTGTGTAGACAGACTGTTGGTACTCAGACCTAGAATTTGCTCAAGGCAAATTTAGAAACAGTTTACAAGTGTTAGCCTGGAGTGAACAAGGGGCAATCACACGTTTTTATGTGGTGTTACACACGAGAATAAAAATAGCTTCAAAGTAAAATTGGGTTTAATTGATGTGATTGTGGTGGTGCAGGAAGAGATGGCAAAAGGGGAACCCTTCAGTGGGAAAATTCTGTCCCTGAGACAGGAGTTTTCCATAGCTAGTTCCAGCAGATGCTAAAATTATTTTGACAGATTAGGCAGTGGTGGCTGTGGCTTTTTCTTAAAGACAACATGTAACCACTCATCTGCAAGTAGGCTTAAAATGGTAAGTCGAGAGTAGGTTTACACTCCGTTAAGTTAAAAGACTTTTAGCCCAAGCTCACAGCGAGACAGTTATTGGCAGTTCACTTATCCCAGTTTGAAATGGCTCAGTTTTAACTCATAGCTGGGTACTCTGCTAGAACACTCTTTGCGGTGATATTTTGCTCCCAGCTACAAAATCTTTCTATTGGGTCACTTCTATCGATGATCTTCTCAATGACAAGAGCCAAGTTAGAAAATGAACGTTACTGCTACAGTGGAGGAGGAAGCTGAGATTTTTTTCATTGAAAATACAAAAGAAAGGATGTTTGGGGTTTTTTTGGGTTGTTTAATTTTCAGTCCAGAGTAATAGTGACTTTATGGAAATGTCAGTGGGTTTGCAACAGTTTAGAACTCCACGTATTTTGAGATTAAACTGAAATGATCAAAATTTCGTAGAAGAGGCATTTGGGCACTGAATTTTATATTTTTCATTTTTTTAAAAATTTTGACTTTTGAATGGTTAAATCAGACCCATGGACTGTACTGCCATGTCAGGAAGGGTGTAGGTCTCGTGCATGATGCTAAAAGAGGTGGTTCAGATAATTCTCTATTGAAGTACCTCACAGATGCAGAACTACTGCACTTCCTGCTAAAAGGTTTGGGTAGAACATGATCAAGGAACCTATGAGTAAATTCTGGACCTGTGTAATAAGATTTTTGTAAAAGATGACCATGTGTTTAAGTTCCTCAAAATGAAAATATGGTTTTAATTTCTTTTTATATACACTGAACTGCAGAAGTTTTTCTGTGAACCTAATGAGCTAGAATGCTGGTAGATCTGAAGCGTTTTTATCTGGTTGTGAAAGGTTAAAATGTTTCTGAAAAAATGTTGTGAACTTGCCTCCAGCTAAGCATTCTAAGCATAGACCCTGGAACAGACTGCCCAGGGAGGGGGTTGAGTCGCCATCCCTGGATGTGTTCAAGTGCCGCTTAGATGTGGTGTTGGGTGATATGGTTTAGGGGTGAACTTGTAGTGTAGAGTTAATGGTTGGACTCGATGATCCCAAGGGTCTTTTCCAACCCGAATTGTTCTATGATTCTATGATTCTGGACTACATCACATTTCAAAGATTATGGTACTGAAAATGACCTATTTAGAAATATTTAGTTGTTACACTTTTACTCAGCCTTGCTGTGAATTCTTAACTGAGTACAGGGCGAAAGAAAAACCAAATATTTGATTGGAACAGAAATAGCTCATATGTCTTTTCAGCAAAAGTTTTTCTTTTTCCTTATCAACAGATGACTCCTCCTGTCAGGACTGGGATTGAGTAGCTGTCCTGATTGCTCCAGTAATTGAGAAAAATGTGCCAGCTCAGTTAAACCTCGTCGAGCTCAAAATGATTTTAATCTTGCTGTTCTCTTGATTCTTAGTCTGCCTAGATTCTTGCTTCCACCTAACTTTATTTTCAGTGTGCTTATCCCTGCTTCCACGTCAATACTTCAGCCAAATAGTATTGTCTTCCCTATTCTGTTACCTCAAACCCTCGAGATAGCTCTTCAGATGACTTGTCCTCACTTTAGAAGAAAAGTCTACAGGGTTAATTGTCTAATCGCCTGGCTTATGGGAGGGCTTAATGGCCAACTGCTACTTGGCACCCGGCACCCAGGGTGACACCAAAGTCCTGCCAAAAGCCTCTTTTGTTCCTCCAGTGGACACTTGTCCTCTCCCAGGGGTGGAGATGGAGGAGGATAGAGGCCCTTCGACATCAGATCCGTGCTGTTAGAGGATCACCCACTGCTTAACCCTCCCGTTACGCTCCAGCTGAAAGAACTTTTGTCCTTGGCAAGGCAGTGCCAAAGGGCTGTGCGGCAGGAAAGACTTCTCTGCCTTTGCTTGCGCGGTGGCAGGCTTAGGTAGAAATCTGTGTGTGCAGATAATTGCATTTCGTGTTTCTCACTGCATCCGAATCCAGACACTGTGCAATACATGATTTTGTTTCTCTGAGAAAAATCTTTTCGTAACGTATTTCACTGAAAAGGATATTTTTGTGTCTTAACTTTTAGTATAATGATAGACACTGGATCCCTGGAGAACCTCTAACTATGCCAGCTACCTTCCAAAATGCCAGGACTGTTGACTGCCAGTTACCAAATGAAGGCCAGCAGTCTGATGTCATGGATCTGGTTGATGATAAACCCATTGCCAGGTGGCAAATAAAGGTATTCCCGGAAATTTCCAATACTCACAGATACGCGTACTAAAATGAAAATATATTACATAGATACTATCCTTTTCTTAATGGCACTAAAGGTGGAAGACAGCTCGCTTAACTTTGGGTCTCAGTTTCCTCACCAAAGCTTAAGCGTTGAGTGCCATTGGAGAGTGTTCTCCCGCAAGGGGACTGGTAGATATGACCTTGACTCTATGACCACGGCCTTAGAGACACACTCTTCGTGAGCAGAAGTTAAAAGCAAAAAAGAAGTTAAAAGCAGAAGTAGAAACTCCAAAGCATTCGAACAACATTAGACACATTAACGGGAAAACAGAGCGGTAAATTTTTCGATTTACCCTACGCGTGGTTGCTCAGATGTCTGCCTAGACTTATTGGCAGGACTGACGAGATTTCTGATGACTATTTTGAGAGTTTGAACATCTAATTGTGGGTGCTTATCAATGAGTTGAAGCTCGTGCTAGCGGTACACTCTGGTGGCACAGTGACACCTGTGTGGGTTAATCCGTCTGTACTGTACACCTTGCAGATTTCTAACGATGGATTCATTTATAGCAACTCTAAACCAATGATATTCTATGATGGAGCCTGTCAGACATGTGACCCACAAGGATCTGGGTTATGTACGTTAAAGGTATGTATTTCACTACTCTCTGTATTTATTACGAAAGCGTGTCTTTTGAGGCAGAAAAAAAGTCTGGAAAGATCAGCAGAACGTGCTCTGTTCTCATTTCCAGTGAGGATTTTCCATACAAAAATGATAAACACAGAAGGAGAAGCTGGCATGAGGCGATTTTAATTTAAAAAAACACCAACAAACAAACAAAAAGCTCTTCTGTAATTAACAAATAAAACCAAACATGCTATCAGTTGCTAAGATTTAAAGACTCCCTTAGTTGTTTGGTGGAAGCAATCTAGATGTGATTTTATCTGAAACTTTACAAATTCATCCAGATTTGATCTTTGATAACCAAAAATTTATGAATCACTTTGTTCTTTCTCTAAAAGGAGAAAACATGCAACATAGATGGACTCTGTTATGGTGAAGGCGACACAAATCCAACCAGCCCTTGCTTGCTCTGCAGACCTGAAATATCAAAGTTGACTTGGTCAGTTGTTGAAAGTAAGTTCCAAATAGTGTTGGGTTTTTTTAGCAGCAAGAAGTTCAAAATCTACTGGTTTTAAATTTATGGAAATAGTGACATTCAAAGTTTAACTAGTTAAGTGTTTCATTTAAAGCTTAGTACCCAGGAGTTTTCGCTTGTAATTTGATCTTGGTTTTCATCTGACATTTCACCTAATTTCTGAAAATGATATTTTGTTTTCCAAACCATACATGTAAAAGTCAGGCTTTTTTATTTTTTCTTGACCTACCCTTTCCTGTAGCCATTGGCACTTGGAAATCTTTTGTCATTTGGCACAGCTACCTCCACACATGTTTATCTGCAGCATTTAGGAATAAAAGAGATTTTCCAACAAATGACTCTGACACCAAACAACAGGAGAACACAAACTGAGTTAAATGGCATGTCGTATTTATTAGCCACTTAATATATGGACATAATAATCATAATAAATATATGGACATATAAGTGAATAATTTTTTCCAACACCCTGTGCTCAGTTTTGCCGCTGCATCCCTTTCCCAAGGATTGCTTAGCGATGTTAAACACCAATCACCTCTGAGTTTTATGGCTTCTTGTAGTTTCATCTGTGAGCTATCCCTGGGTAGTTAAAATACAGTGGTTAAATTTATTAAATTTGAGTTCTTTCTCTGTATAGATGCTCCCTTGCATAGTCTAAGTAATTTCTTGGTTATGTTGTTGTAATGAAAGTATTAAATGTTTTTCACTGAAAAGCAAAAAAAATACTTGTGACTTTCTTAATAGAAAGAGATGCTCCTTTTATATTTTGTAAGTATATTACTTTTGCTTAAAAGAGGAAAATATCTCCTTTGTTACAGACAACCAGCCGCCAGTGCTTGAATCTTTCCAGGGTATTCTACAGGCTTTTTATGGAGAAGATTTTGTGTATCAGTTTTTTGCTTCAGATCCAGAGGGCTCTGCTATTCATTTCACCTTGGATTCAGGTCCGGAAGGTGCCAGTCTTTCCCCTTCAGGTCTCCTTTTGTGGAGAGCTCTATCAATGGATCTCCATAAATTAGCCTTTTCGGTGACAGATGACTGCAATGCAAAGACTAAGGTAGAAATAGAGGTAATGAATATTACAGTAAAGTGACACCTACCAGTAAGATGTTTGAGATGTCTAATTACAAAATGTGTTGCTGGCTCATTACAACATGTGTTGCTGTCTGCTTGGATGTGTCTTGTAGGTCAGTGTGAAATCGTGCGATTGCCTAAATAATGGCTCCTGTGTGACAAATATTAATTTCCCACCTGGAAGTGGAAGGTACCTTTGTGTGTGTGTGGCTGGATTCGAAGGTGATCTCTGTCAAGTGAATACTGATGACTGTAAACTTCACCAGTGTGGCGTTGGCAGGTGTGTGGATGGAATAAACAGCTATTACTGTGAATGTCCACCTGAACTTCAAGGTAAATTGCTACTTTATTTATGCACAGTTATCACGGTTAGTGATAAATAGGAGTTTCTAATTTTATGTCTGTGATTTGGATTTTTTTTTTAATTTTTGAGCGTTAATAGCTTGCTGTTGAATATGAAGAAATTTTATGGTTTTGTGAGAAAAGTTATATAGAATCCTAGAGTATTAGGGGTTCAAGATTTTTCTTTCATGAATGCAATGGGGGTTTATATTAGGAAAGGAAATTTCCATTGTTTTCTTCCTCAGGGGTAAACTCAGCCACATGGTGAAACACAGAAGTGATGAGTTTGGTTACAGGGCGATTCCTCCTCTGGCTGCAGATGGACATGTAGTCCCCACAACCATATTCTGCAATAAGCAAGATTCTTGATACAAGATGAAAAAAATGTGAATAGCAAACCCAGTCAGCTCTACTTCCTACATGTACTGAATTACTTTGTTGCACTTGGTAGATGCCCTTTTTATTTCAGAATGTACATTCTTCATTCTACTATACATACATACATTCTCCTTTTATAAATACGCTGTCAGTCTTCTGACACAATATTATAAAAAATAAATAAATCTGTATTTCAATGCAGGTAAAAATTGTCAAGATGATGTAGATGAATGTGTATCCAGTCCCTGCTTCCCTGGAGTGTTTTGCTTCAATACTTTTGGCTCCTACTATTGTGGTCCCTGCCCAAATAATCTGCTGGGAGACGGGAAGTCGTGTTACGGTAAAATTATTTGGTTTTCAGAAGAATGCTGTTATCTCACTGTCGTTCAGAGAAAATATCTTTTGGTTGTGCTTCATGTTTCTACCAGTAACGTAGACATCTTTCCAGCAGTCAGCAAAGAGGGCTGTATCTCTGGCTGTCGACGGCTGGGACAGAATCTCAGCTACTCACAACATCAGACTGCACTGCGTCACATAGTCATAAAATAATTCTGAGGTGACTAGAAAAAATAAGATACAAAATACCCCAGTTCTTTTATGTCAGAGTAGAATAAAATGAAATGTATCCATTGTGTGTTATTTTTGTAATATGAGCAATTATTAAATTATTTTTCTATTAGATTGCTTAACACAGAATTATTTACCCAACTCAAGGCACTTGCCAAGTAAGGTGCCCATTTATTTACAACACGATTATTGAATAACTTGTATTTCTAAAACACTCTTGAAAACTTCGAAGAAACAATTTTACTCTTGATCTGCTTTCTGAATTTTGAGTTATTTTCCTGTATGAAAATTTTGACTCTGTTTTCAATTTATTTGCAGTTGAAACAGAAGTGATTACTAATGGGCCTTCACATCTTTTGTTTTTAGAAAGCTTCGAAGACACTAATGTTGAAAGAAAAGATACTACGAGCGAAATTGGAGGGAATAAAGGTGATTTTTTCGTGAAGAAAGTGGAATTTCTGATTCACATACTGATAAGACTATAGCTGGCAAGTAAAGGTTCTAGTCAGTTTTATGTTATTCGCTTTAATTTTTCAGTTTGACTGGATTTAATTCATTACTGGGGATGTATTCTGATCTGAAAAACGAACCTGAAATGTCAATATCAACAAATCCCTTAGGCCAGTCAAGTCATTTTATTGGCACTGTGATGTATGACATTCTTGCTGTTGCCTTTTGTTTTTGTGACTAACCACTGACAGAAAACAGGTAACGTGGGGATAGGGACATCTGTTCTACGAGACAAGGAAAAGTTTATGGCATTATGCTGAATGCCATTTTCCTGCTTTAACTGAAGGGAAAGGTGAAGGATATGGCAAAGGAATGTCTTCATTCCAAAACTCTGTCAGTGCTGTGGCTGGCATTTCCAGCTCTGTGCCCGCCGGGCCTTTCGTTGCGGGAAATTCTCACGTGTCTTTCCCTTTATCTCCGAATTGTTAGTGGGGAAGGATCAAAACTCACTCCCTTGCCATTGCTGGATCATTCTTCGCTTTTCAGCAGCAGGAGACTGCACTCTGTAATAAGGTTCAGCAACATTTAACCCGTTGTAGACCATTTCTTAGTACCTTTTTAAATGGGCTTAGGGACAGAGCTTAAGTTAGGGAGTACAACCTCCTCCAGTTTCATTCTTCCTCTCCCCCATAAGGCTAAAAAAAGCCTGTGTTCGGCATCCTGCCATTCTGGGATCACAGTGCCCAACTGCTTTCCACAACTCAGCAGATCACTTGCTTTTTGCAGGGCAGAAGATGAACTTTTCATTCGCTTTGTGCTCCTTTCCATGAGGAGACTGAATCAGTCTCTGTCGTTTATAAAACACAGGAAACATCCCACTAACAAAACCCAAGCAGAAACATTGAGAAAGGTGATAAAAAGGTTTGAAGAGCTAAACATGGTAATACTTTTGCTTACAAGGTGGGTGGACGGTTCACCTAAAATACTGTCCATGGTGCATCCGTAGGTACAAGCATGTTCATACTTGTGGTTAAATATCTCCTTCTAGGTTCTAGGCTTACTACGAGTCCTTAGACACACCGGTGAACCGTAAGCAGTGTCTTTTCTTTAAACTCTCGTTCAGCTGCCTAGTTGGAAGCAGTATATGGAGCTGGGAATTTGCTCTGACAGTAAAGGTGTTAATTGACCCAACATGGGAAAATCTCTGCTGTCTGGTTCATATATATGGTGCTTTCTCCTTTAGCCAAGAAAAGGCCACGGTAAGGATAGGAAAGGGCACAGAGCCAGAATACCTTGACCTCCAGTTCTGCCAGTTAGGTTCCCCTGGGGTGCTGCTTACATATTCTGGTGTAGCACATGGAGAGACTTCCTGAAGCACAGAAGGAATGAGCTGTACATTTTTCTGTTCAGAAGATTTTTCCTTGCCATCAGAAGGAAAAAAAAAAAAAAGTCTCTTCATATTCCCACACTTCTTCTCCCCTTTTCTTTCTGGCGCGCTGTAGGTTTTCAACAATCATCCACTGAGAAGGTTTTGAGTGTCTCAAAGTATATTCCCAGCTCTACAGATGTCCCCAAGAGATTTCTTTCTACAGAAATGGTCAGAATCAGCACACCACCAGCAGTCACCACCTGGAAGTTACTTAATTCTCAGAGAAGTGCTTCTCTACAACCTGCTGCGACTGGAAACACGGCTCACGCTCCCAGCACCGTCAGTCGTCACCTTGCTGACATGGAAAACAGTTCTTCAGCACGTGCTGTGATGAGTGCAGCTTCGAGGAGCCGTGCTGCATCACCTGAAAAGGCAGCGAGGGCACAAGCTGAGGCATGCAGCCCTTCTGAGACCAGCAGAAAGACTTCTCGCACCAGAACGAGTATAAACAAAGGGCTCTCTTTGCCAGGCAAAGTTTTCAAAGGTGGAAATGCTCACAGAGTTGAGCACCTATTACCCAAACATAAAGCAAGTCCTTTACCTTTCGTCCTTGTTGAAGCCACTGTCCCAACAAAAAAGCTTTCTGAAGAACTGAGTAAAATAGCGATTCCTAAAGCAGTAACTTGCACCGATTTACCCTGTTTTCCTGGTGTACCTTGTGAGCCAAGTCAGGATGGAAGGGTCAGGTGTGGTCGTTGTCCTTACGGTTATTATGGAGATGGCCTCACCTGCAGAGGTATTACCAATAAGTGCACTAAGTGCTTTGCAGAAAAGAACCTTGTTGACGTCTTCCTAACTTGGAAGTGCGTTGTTACTGTGTGACGAGTGAAACGCAGAGACTATTGAATTTTCTTATTTGCATTATTAATACTGGCATAGCCGACAGGCTTTTAGCTGTATGGATGCACTTAAAAATATTTTTCTGATGTGTCTCGGACTCCCCGCTCACGGGCAGGGTGGAGTGGAGTCTGCGTGCTCTGTTTGTTGTGCTAGGCAAGACACAGTTGCTGTTGAAATGCTGCTTTCTGTTTTCCTTATTCCTTCCTTTGTTTTCTCCGTTGCCTTTCAGCAAGATGTAGACAAACATGTGGCAAAAATATGGAGTGTGTAGCACCCAATGTTTGCAAATGCAAGCCTGGTTATGCTGGTTATAACTGTCAGGCTGGTGAGTAAGGCATTTTGATTTAGCCTGTGGTTAACTCATATCCACCAATTAATGATTTGAAGTTCACTGTTGATTTTTTTGCACAGCTCTGTGCAGACCTGACTGCAAAAACCAGGGGAAGTGCGTTAAGCCCAATGTCTGTGAATGTCTACCAGGATACAGTGGCTCCACTTGTGAGGAAGGTAAATAAAACACTTTTCACTTTTGTATCCATAAATACCCAAAGGGTGCTTAAATAACTTCTCTCACTGTTCATTGTGACACGAAGAGGTTTGTTCATTTTGGTTTAACAGAACTCTTTGAGTACCATGTTGGTATTTACCCTACTTTTTGATATACACCGTAAATGTTGCTTGTGATGGCTCTTCTTAAATTAAGCTTTCACAGTAGACAGAGGAGTTCACCAGTGAATGTAGATGCTAAACAGTCCCAAAGAGAGGAGAAGTCCTGTCTGGAAATTTTCTCAGATTTCTTTTCTTCAGGGTGACCACCACGGTTGGGACTCTGCATACTCTGTTGGAATTAAGTTCTTCTTGTTACTTACTCTTGCCAAAAAGCATTGCATACGTCTCGTTTTATTACCAGTTCTTTGCTCACTGTCAGTTACTAACCTTTTCCTTTGTCTAAAGCATAACCAATCCATGCATCTTTTTAGAGGTGATTTCTTGAGCAACGTAATTCTCTGTCTGCAGCACATTGCAAACCACCCTGCCAAAACGGAGGCACGTGCTTGGCCAGAAATCGCTGCACCTGCCCGTACGGTTTTGTGGGACCGAGATGTGATACAAGTAAGGAAAAAAGCACAGGGAAGAAGACAGACCATTTCTCCTGGTCTTTGGGAGCAAGAAAGCAAATTATGGTTTAAATTTTCGATGCACTATGTCTAATGCCGTTAAACAAATGACATTATAGCCTCTTTGAAGGCTCCAATAGTTGGGCTTTTCAGACATTGGTTGGGTAGTATTTACATTTAACATGAAAAGCAATGTACTATAAAAATTGCAAATAGTTTATTATTTATTATTCAGGACATGGAAGCATTGAGCACGTTGTGTGTATGACACCACCTTCAGGACAAACACAGATATTTAATATGTCCTTATAGCTTTTTAACTTCTATCATTTTAAATTGGTTACATGCTGGGATACATTCAGAAGTCTGTATCGGTGAATGGCGAGTCAGAAAAAGTGGGATAGAGGAGAACTGAATTCAAAACCACGTTGTGGCGTCTTTTTTTTTTTTTTTAACCTGGTATGAATACTGGAGTATTTGCTGCGATCATAGCTGAAAAAAATAGAATTAGCTATTCTCACATAAATTGGCTTTTACATATCAAAGTCTACATGCTGCAAGCTGGCAAATCCAAATTCGGGGGTAGATTTCATACTGGTAATTCCTGTCATTCAGAGTCTAAATTTAGAAATGCTGTTCATTCACCTGAATGTGCCACTGCAGTATTGACCCTGAATTGAGGAAGCCCTTTGTTCATCTCCTCCTCAAATCTCAGGACTCTTAATTCTCAATTTTTCTTGTTCTTGTTTCAAAAAATAAATAAAAAAGTGCTTTTTGTTAAGCAATACTAAAGAGAATGAGACGTTGTTCTGAAGAAGTGGTGCGTGTTTCCACAGCGCCTCAAATCCCAGGACTCTTAATTCTTAATTTTTCTTGTTCTTGTTTCAAAAAAAAAATAATCTGCTTTTTGTTAAGCAATACTAAAGAGAATGAGACGTTGTTCTGAAGAAGTGGTGCGTGTTTCCACAGCGATGATGTTTTAATGTCTTTCTTGTTACTCCTGTGTCACTCTGTGCGTGCAGCTGCACTTGCTGTTGGAGGACACTGTGTGAACTTTCTCAGGAGTCCATGAAAGCCATCACACAACACGCTGCATTCGTCTCTTAGTGCTGAATTGCCCATTTTTCTTTAGATTTTATTGGGAATTTTCCAGATTTTTAATACTGAATATAACCAGACCGTGTATAATTACCTGGACAGACATTTTATAGCTGGTAGTAGCTTTTTGTGGCTTTGAGACTGGATTAATCCATTCAGCAGTTCCTTCTCGAGTAGTGGTATTTCCAGTGTTCATATTTGGGAAAAACTGAGAAATGAATCAGGCATAATTTGTAGCGTATCTCTTTCTCTCTCCCACCCCCTCCTCTCCTTCTTTTTTGTTCTCGCCCACCTTCTTGGATGGCAGTGGTTTGCAACAGACACTGTGAAAACGGGGGTGAATGTCTTACCCCAGACATCTGCCACTGCAAACCTGGGTGGTCCGGACCGACGTGCAGCACAGGTAACACCCCCGCACCTTCCCTGTTCCTGGGGGAGCACCCGTCAGACCTCCCGTGGTTTGAAATTGGGAACCTGGCTCAGGTGGCAGCGGTGGGTGGCTCCTCACTGTTGCGCTGCTCCCTCTTGCACGTTAGTTCTGCTGCTGGCAGAACCTCTAAAAAGTCTGATACCGGTCCTCAAATTTTGGGTGAAGGTTTTCTGTGAGTGGTGTTATCTGCAGTTGGCTTGGGTGTTGAATTCCTGTCCTTGCAACAGAAGCACTTATTTTGTGGACTTTATTTGGGTGCTTCCCACTCTGCCTGACCCTGTTTCTGCAGCGATGTGTGACCCTGTGTGTCTCAATGGTGGTTCCTGTACTAAGCCAGATGTTTGCCTCTGTCCACGTGGATTCTTCGGTGCCCAGTGTCAGAATGGTAATGCTTTTTTTTTTTATTTATTTCCCCCCCTTAGCTGCCATTACGAGGAAATCGGTGAGAAAATATTGTTCTCTTAAGACACAAAATTCACCATCAAGTCATGTGCCTGGGAAGTGCTGCAAAACAGAGATTGCGTTACGTCTTGGATTTTGTGGCTGATTCAGTGAATGTCCAAGGAGAAGGGAGACTCAAAAGTTGCCTTGTCTTCCGCTCAACTTTTGAGCAGTGTTCAGCCAGTTCCATTGTCTGTTCTGTAGTCTGGTTACTCCCGTACACGTACAGTTGCCAACCTTAACCCCTTTTTATCTGATTTTGTCTTTACTATTGACACTAATAAGTCTTTCCTGTAGGCACCAGTTTGCATTAATATGATTTTTACGAGTGCTGAATGTCTGTATAAGCTGTTGCACTCTTGCTTCCTACAGTTATATTGCTAAGTCAAACAAAATGCAAACTACAGCCTTTCCTTTTTTTTTTGTGTGTCTTTTAGCTGTCTGCAGCCCGCCTTGTAAGAACGGTGGTCATTGCATGAGAAATAATGTCTGTTCTTGTCCTGATGGGTACACAGGCAGAAGATGTGAAAAAAGTAAGGCAGCGTTATGTCCTTCCAGGATCCAAGAGTAACTAATAAAAGATTCTGTACTCATTTAAATGTATTAAACACTGGATGGTTTTGATTTTAAGGTGTCTGTGAGCCACGGTGCATGAACGGAGGAAGGTGCGTAGGGCCAAATGTTTGCTCTTGTCCTTCAGGCTGGAGAGGAAGAAGATGTAACACTCGTAAGTACCTTATAGTTAATAGGAGAACCATACAGCAGAAGTAATATATGGCTAAAGGACAACTCTGTCCACGCAACTAGCATCAAATTAGCACCAAAGAACTCAAGAATATACACGCCTTTTGAAAAAAAATGGTCTGTAACTTGGCAGCAAAATTCAAGAATGAGAAATAATAATACCATGCCGTTCTCAGGTTAAATCAGAAGACCCAAATAACCTCTTACATTCATGTATAGCAAATAATATTTGTTACTTTCTTAATTCTTGTCTCAATACGAAATATCTGTATTTCTGTAAAGAGCTGAGTCAATGAAGTAAAAGAATTTCAATTTGTGCTGTAGAGCATAAAAGCAGATACAATAGATAAAAGTACAGTGAAAGATTGCAAAACTGTGGGAACGTAGTAGGAGATTATTGGAACAGAAGATGCCATGTGGACAATTGGGAAAGGTAGAAGCAGGACTGGGATGGCAGCACAGCTGTGGGTCACATTGTATCGTAATGAAGATATTGATGGTGCATAAATAAAATGTGGCCGTGTGAATAAAAGCACAGTCCGCAGGAAAATCAGCATGAGGCTGGCTGGTAGAAATCCAATAGATAAAGTGTTAGTGTCTGTCACAGCACCCGCCTGAGGCTTAGATATTGATATGGCCAATGAGCTCTCTAATGGCATGGAGGAAAAACAATTTTCCCTGTATTACTTCCTGTAATTATTGGAAAGTTTTATTGAAGAAAAAATTACCCATATTGACAGGGGTGAGATATTCTCAGACACTGCAGAAGAGAGATTGGATTATCAACGAGTCAGTTAATCAATGGGAAATAATAGTGGTTTAGATTATGGCTTAATAAGCAGGGACAAATGTGCAGAAAAATGGGTCATAGAACAAAATTTTGGATCAAATCTTCACAAGCAGATTCTCCCCGTGTTAAGTTGCATGACAGGCAGAAGATCTCTCACTAAGGTGTGCATTTTAGAAAGGTGAATTTGGAAAGAGCAAAGCTATTCAGTGGTGCTGTCTAAATTCAGTATTTCAGGCATTTGTAGTGATCTCTGATGCATCAGAACATCTCCCTGTGTGCTTTGGCCGTGGGGCTTTTTGTTTCTAGTCACCTCTCTTCTTTAGCATCTTGCTGACCTTAGACAGATTTTCAGTGAGGGTGGTGTGACTTTTGTGTAGGTAAATCACTCAGCCTCTCATGGGCATCCTAAAATGTAAAAAATAAGTCAAAGGAGTCGCATGGGATATAACCAAAGATTTTGATGATGTTTGTGCAGCAATCTGTCTTCAGGAATGTAAGAACGGTGGGGAATGTATTGGACCAAGTACGTGCCATTGTCCTCTGCAGTGGGAAGGAACCCAGTGTCAAACACGTAAGAACAACGTGACTTGTCAGCCGTTTGCTTCAGCACGCTTAAGAATGTTCCAGCAATACCTAGTGCCTAGAAGTTCTGTACTTTGGTTGTATTTTAACTCAAATCCGTGTCGAAGGCAGGATAAAGGGTGGAGATTCCTCAGCCCATTCTGAAGCCCTCCAGAGTACGGTGCTGTCTGGGACCATGGCAAGTGTGCAGCTGCTTGCTCCAGGACAGTGCTCTGCTGCAGCAGCCCTGAGAGGCTGTACTAATAGCTTGAAGTTGAAGGCTGTGTTAAAAAACACCTTAGTCCTGTCCCCTGCCCTCAGCGTGTTCCCATATTAAATCTGCAGTTTTGCATAAGGGGGATGGGAGAGGCACAAAAGCATCGTTAGCTCCGTGTGACTGTGACGTGTCCTTACGCTGAGGGAGAACCTGAAAATTTTCCCTCTGAAAAAAACAATCAAGTTCTGAGCTCCTCTAAGCAGGCAGAATACGGACACAGAGGCAGCGGTTGCTTTTCCTGCACCAAGTTGTTCCCGTGACTAAAGCCGCGTACGTACCTCTCCTCCTAGCTGTGTGCGGCCAGAAGTGTCTGTTCGGAGGCAGGTGCGTGTTGCCCAACGTGTGTTCTTGTCGTCCTGGTTACACCGGAGTCCTCTGCGGGAAGAAAATTCAGGTACGTGTAGAGTCAAGACACCCTCGGATACAGCGATTTGGGACTCCTTGTCTAGTCCACGGTCATCCAGTGAAGCGGCAGGAAATACACCAAAGGCGTTCGTCTTGTTTCTTCCTTTTGGTCTCCACTGAGGGGAAATTAATAAAATTCCCAATTTTATAGGCTTTGATACTTAAGAGAACTGCTCTCAACACTTGAATTTCCTTTGTTTCAAATGGAGCTGATTATCTCTTGTCATTCCCTGAGTGGCTGCAGCAGGAATGGATAAATGTCTCCGTGACCATCACCGTTATCTTTTCTAGCACCTGGCCTCATTTTAGGGAAGAGCTTCCCCTCACTGATTTTCTTCACTTGCTTCAAGTCAAGCCCTGGTATCATTCAACTAACTAACTAACTAACTACCTAACTAACTGTTATTTTAATTTCTCTGTTGTGGCACGGAATCTGTTGCGTCCCTTTGCTCGAGTGCTGAAACTCCCTCGCAAAAGTAATGCAGTTAAACCTCTCCTTACAACTAACTTTTGGTTGTGATGGCTGAAGTAGAAAGCATTCTACTCGTGTCATCTGTGACGTTTTTCTTAATTTCAACATAGTTAGACACTTCTCTGGTGGCAGCAGAATTCTTCTGGCGGAGCTGGAGGGCACAGCTGTTTCAGCCCTTGACGCTGGTGCTGTTCCTTTACATTCATCTTTAATTACATGCCACTGCATGCTGCAGCCAAACTACCGTATTCTATCCTTCCCATCCTTCCTTTCTTTTTAGTATTTTGCCACATTATGTCTTCTAATGCAAAATCTATAATGTGCCAGCTAGGTGTGCAGGCATTTTTAGTGAGAAATGGGCAAAAACCAGGGAATCCAGCAATGGTTTAACTTTCATCCATGGGAATTCAGATCTTTTTTCTACTTGATTATCAAGTCCAATATACAATGCCAATACCATTTGTGGTCAGGTAGCAGATAATTTGTTAGAGATGGGGCAAATATGTTTAAGAAATTGAAACAATTGATAAATGCTCGTACGCATTTTGAAAATGTAAAACTGCACATGCCAGAAACAGATTATAATGTTTGTGATACGGATTTCCAAAACATAACATAAAAAAAAAAGGAAATAATTTTAATTCACTGGTTTACATAAACATATCCTGCAAAGCCTTAGTATATTCTTAATCTAGAGAAGACACTGTTGATCAGTCAGACAGTCCTGTATCATACACTGACAAAAATGCCACATTTTCTTAAAGAACCAAACAAGCTATATGTGCAAGTTTAACTTAATGCTGTGTTTCTGCATAGCAGCAAAGCAGAGATTCACTAAAATTGTTTCTTAAACTTCATAATAAAAATGGGCCGTGCCATTAAAATCTCCTTTCACTTTCTTTTTTTCTTCAAGGTACAAAAGCATCATGGTTGAAGAAAAGAAGTGTATCAAGTAAATTGCAATGCTGCATGGATGTAGGGGACTTGAAAGCAGCCAGAGGCTTGAAGGCAATTACAGAATTTAGTTAAATGAAAGGAGTATCCAGAAGCATTATTTTGAAAGATTCTTATTAGGAATTTTGGCGAGCTTCAAAACAACAGTCTTGTAGATATTAAAACATATTTCTATATTTTTTTGCTACCTCATGGACAAACCCATGGCCTCTGATTCTTCACTGTGCTCACAGATTCGATGAATGATGCAAACCCAAAATTCTGCAGTTTGTCAGCTGGACTACGAGATTTCCTTTGGGGGAACAAGAGTGTAATAGCTGCCGAGCGTCTCTAGGAAAGGAGGCAGCACTTCATCACTTCTGAATGGTACCTTCTGTTTGCAAACATCATTTACTTGCATATGATTTGGCTGCCTCCGGAAGAAAAAGCAAACCACATTTTTCTTCTTTGTCTTGAGGTGGTGTCAGTCTGTTATAATGACTCACTAGTAGGGGTGAAGGAGAGGGAACCTAAACCAAGGCTCAGCTGCTACCAAGGGAGGCAAGGCCGCTCGTTAACGGTCAATCAGACACAGAATAATTGTGATTTAGCCACGGGAAGCCTTTGCACCCAGGAGCCAGGTACCAGCTCTTCTGTTTTGATTTCGTTACTTACACTCATGGCGTCGAGCACCCACCTGCTGAATGATTTCTGTTGTCTGTGAGACGTTTGTGCCCCTGGTTTGAGATGGCATTCAGGAATAGGAGGAAAATTTGCCCCTGAGTCTCTTTAGAGAAATCTGACAATGCCAGGCTCAATCTTAAAATAGGAACTAATAGAAGGGGAATTTGCTGTACATCGTGTCATCCATACACACCAAACCAGAAGGTATTTGTAAAAACATCATCGTTTTTTCCAGCTCCAATGAACTTTAGCACCTACCAGCTGCCAGACAGTTTTTGAACAAATAAAATTCCAGGTTTTTCTGCAGTTTCATAGAGGACTACCATCTTCTTGCCCTAGGACTGCAAAAGACATTTCAGTTCCTGTTGCAACCAGCTGGGCTCTGGTGATAGATACAAACGTCCCTTGAAGCCATAGTACTGTTTTGATTTTTTAAAACCCAAAATAAACATCATGACTTCTTGTCCTGAGCAACATTCAGTTTACATACACTAACTCTGAATGGGAAGAAGATAGAGCTCATTTTGCCATTTACTGCCAGCGTGGGATGCCGATTGCCGAACTGTAGCTCTTGGCAGCTCTGCCTTGATCTCTCCTCACCTTTTGATAGTCCTCTTAAGTCATTTTGCAAAATAAGCTGGCATTCTGAGAGCTCAGTGTCATTCCAGAGTGATACCTGATGGATTTCCAAGTGCCTGACTGGTGCACGTAAAAACATGGTTTTGTTTTCCCACTTGCACTTTAAGTTCCAGTATTTCCGTATTTTCTTTCACTCAGGCATCCAAGTGGCTGATTGCCTGATCTTCTGGGAACTGTTCTTTTATCTAAAACCAACTCGCCTTGAACCGTTTCCTTTCCACAACTGATGAACAAAACCTGACTAGCTGGTGGGACTGATGCCTCAGGATGCTGCTTTGAATATACAAAGTGCTGAAAGTGGGTTTATGATGCCAACACACTGACATTGCTTCATCGTGTATTGTAATAACCCCCTTTCCACCCGTCAGTTAGGGAGGGGGTGTGTTAAAGAGAGGTAACACCTGCCAGGAGCACTTTGTTAAGGAAAACTGAATCAATGTATGGCCCTTTCTAGGATTTCAGGCTGAAATGGGGGGGTTAATCCTAACTTTTAGTATTTCCCATTTATTTTCAGTGGTTCTAAAGGCAGAAGTGACTTCTTTTCCATTTTCCAAATGCAAGCCGTGCAAACAAAAGCACCTCCAGTTTTGTTACAGTAGTTACGAGTGCTCAGTGCTAAGCTACACTGTTTTCCAACAAGCAATACAGAAAAATTACTAGTATGTGCACGAAGGCAGATACTTCAAAACTGCCAAGGAATTCTGTGATTAGTTCAAACTATTTAGTGACTAGTTTGTCAGTCATACGCATCAAATCACCGAATTGTTTAGGTTGGAAAAGGCCTTTAAGATCATTAAGTCCAACCATTAACCCAGCGCTGCTAAGGCCAGCACTAACCCACGGCCCTGAGCACCACATCTACACAGCTTTTAAATACTTCCAGGGATGGTGGCTCCACGACTACCCTGGGCAGCCTGTTCCAGTGCTTAACAACCTTTCGGGGGAAGAAATTTTTCCTAATTTCCAATCTAAACATCCCCTGGCATGAAACAGAATTCACGGTAGTTTGGAAGTACGTTGCAAAAATGCAGTAAAATTGCTTGGGTTTACAAGAGGCAGAAGCAGACAGAGCTTGTATACACAGGTTAACAAAATTGTTCTGAAATTGCATAATGAAATATGAAATTAGGCGCAGAAGAGTTAAGGGAGAATAGTGCAAACTGCAGGAGTTCCACTCTGATGGAACAACAGGCAACTTGTGCCAGCCTGAAGGTCTTAGAATGATTCTTGGCACATCAGACAGGACACGGGTATCTTCACTGATTTCTTGCCTGATTTCTTCAAACACTGCACAGGGCTGGAAGGTACCTGTGTGCATCATCCATTTATCATCTGGCTGTGCTAAAGTGGCTCTGCAGGCCTGCAGAAATCCTCCCAAGTGCAGACTAACTTTTGCCCGTCACCTGGAAAAGATCTTTAAAATGCAGCACAATGAATGGTTTCTGAAGGAAGGACTCACAAAACAGAAGACACCACAGATCTTAGCAAGGACTCAGCTTCCTACATTTGTATCCATGTTAGCTGGGATTTAAGAAAAAACATGTGAAAAGCTCTTTCTTTTTCACAAAAGTTATTATATATTCTCATTGCTGAGAATAAAAAGTGAGTTGGCGTTCCATCTACCAAAAGCAAATCCGTGAAGAAGAATCAGTACAAACCCTACAGTAAATCAGTATCAAAGCTTAAGCTACTTGACAAATAAGCTATAGCCCAAATGGGAAAAATCCAGTCTAAATTCTCAATAAAAGGTAACACCTGCGTACATACACAGAACCAAATGCAGAGGTTAGAAAGTGTTACTAATGACCAAAGATATTTATGCTGTTTCTCTTGCATAAAGGTATCGCATGGCAACATCAGGTCATTTTCCTCAACTTTTTCACTTTAGCCAATAAAGGATATTTTACAGATAAAAACACAGAACTCCATTCTGGCTACAACCACGCACAGTCAAAAATACAAATGGTTAAATGTGCATATAAGTAAATTCAACAGAAGAAACCCTTCTCACCTCATCACACACACTCTAAAGGATATCAAAACCACAACCAATGCGCTACCCCTACGATTTTTCCAGTTGTTTTTAGTGAAAAACAGAGCATCTGTATAAGGTATTACGGTAAGCTCTAATAAATCAGGGAAGTAAGCTGTTCCGTGTAGCTTTTCTTGACCTTTGAGCTGCAAGCATAACTAGCTTTTCACAGGAAGACACCAAAACCTACGTGCTGTAAGTAGTATGTTCACTCCTCCAGTGAGTGGGAAACAAACAAAAGGAACACTGACAGCTCTTTTAGTAAATGTATGTGGAACTGTGGATATAAATAATTTGGGGACCTGAACTACCATTAATAATACATTTTGAGATTGTTCGACTTTAAATTAACTACTAGAAAATTAACTTTTCAACTCGCTTAAAGTATTGTGGCGATTTAAAGACAAAACCCCCAACGGAAAACCCTGTGGCCAGCAGATGGTGCTACATTCAAGCAGTATTTCTAAAATGCGCCCTCGCGTTCCGTGTGCCGTCAAACTGCTGCTTACTTAATCATTTCTAAACTATTTAAATTAGCTCAGAAAGACCAGGTACAGCTCGCTCTCACTGACTGCTCCTGATCTGATGCTTCTAAGGATGCTAATATCTCATTTGCCTTCTAATCGCCATTACTGGCACTTTCGCCTTTATTAGAGGTCATTCTTTGCAGGAATAATACTGAGATATTACACCTCTTTGCTTTTACGTATTTCTACTCATTTACTTTGAAATCTTGGGTCCGATGCAGTTAGTTTTTTTCCATTTGATTGCCTGCAAGGTATTCTAAAGTATTTATCTAAGGTATTCATTTCCAAATTCAGGAGTTACCGCACGATTATTGCGGTGACCTGTGACACGGACACAGAACTTTTACCACCATAAAGCCTAGTCTAGAACTGCTCATGAAATCATCTTTTTCCACGCATGAAAACCACATTTTTGACCAGCGTGTCTGAAATACCCAGTGTATCACAGCAAAAGCAGCACAAAACCCACGCTCCTCTTTCTCTGTCCCCTGTGCGGCAACGAAACCTGCACAACGCACGTCCACAGGAGGTTTCATCTGAACCACATGCAATGGCCTCCAAAGCACGGGCAGAGGAAGCCTCAACCACAAAGCACCTGCTCGTAAGAGAAATCAAGAGTCTCATGAAGTGTCTTTCATTTGCCCTCTGTGTGCTTGGGTTCTCTCTTTCTGAGAACATCGCTAATCCCGTTTACGTTCTTGTCAATGCTCGGTGGCTTGTAATCCCTGGAGAAACTCGTCCACTTAAGGTCACTCTGCCCGTGAAAGCTACACAGAATCATAGACTGGCCTAGGCTGGAAGGGACCTTAGAGATCAGTTAATCCAACCTCCCTGTCACGGGCAGGGACGCCACCTCTAGACTAGACCAGGCAACACATGGGGACCGGATGGGAATTGAACCCGCAACCTTGGTGTTGTCATTGTTGTCAGCACCATGCTCAAACCACTGAGCACCGGACGTGTTCTGGTAAGGGAGCTATCACACAGACACAACATCATTCTTTCAAATTGGTTAAAATAATGCATGGGTAATGGATTAAAATAACGCAGAGCTAAAATTCTCCCACCAGCTTCACCAAAAAACAATGCAAATCAATCTAACTCTCTCAAAAAAAAAAA